GTTACATCTGACACCTGTGTGCCATCTGTGTGACATCTGTTACACCTGTATGACACCTGTTACACCTGTATGACATCTGTTACATCTGTTACACCTGTGTGACATCTGTTACACCTGTATGACACCTGTTACACCTGTATGACATCTGTTACATCTGTTACACCTGTGTGACATCTGTTACATCTGTTACACCTGTGTTACACCTGTGTGACACCTGTTACGCCTGTGTGACATCTGTTACATCTGTTACACCTGTGTGACATCTGTGTGACACCTGTGACACCTGTTACACCTGTGTGACATCTGTTACATCTGTTACACCTGTGTGACATCTGTGTGACACCTGTGTGACACCTGTGTGCCATCTGTGTGACATCTATTACACCTGTATGACACCTGTTACACCTGTATGACATCTGTTACATCTGTTACACCTGTGTGACATCTGTTACATCTGTTACACCTATGTGACATCTGTTACACCTGTGTAGTACCTGTGAGACATCTGTTACACCTATGTGACATCTGTTACACCTGTGTAGTACCTGTGAGACATCTGTTACACCTATGTGACATCTGTTACACCTGTGTGACATCTGTGTGACACCTGTTACACCTGTGTGACATCTGTTACATCTGTTACACCTATGTGACACCTGTTACACCTGTGTGACATCTGTTACACCTGTGTGACATCTGTTACACCTGTGTGACACCTGTGTGACACCTGTGTGACATCTGTTACACCTGTGTGACACCTGTGTGACACCTGTGTGACACCTGTGTGACATCTGTTACACCTGTGTGACACCTGTGTGACACCTGTGTGACACCTGTGTGACACCTGTGTGACATCTGTTACACCTGTGTGACACCTGTGTGACACCTGTGTGACATCTGTTACACCTGTGTGACACCTGTGTGACACCTGTGTGACACCTGTGTGACATCTGTTACACCTGTGTGACATCTGTTACACCTGTGTGACATCTGTTACACCTGTGTAGTACCTGTGAGACATCTGTTACACCTATGTGACATCTGTTACACCTGTGTGACATCTGTGTGACACCTGTTACACCTGTGTGACATCTGTTACACCTGTGTGACACCTGTTACACCTGTTACACCTGTGTGACATCTGTTACACCTGTGTGACATCTGTGTGACACCTGTTACACCTGTGTGACATCTGTTACATCTGTTACACCTGTGTGACATCTGTTACACCTGTATGACACCTGTTACACCTGTATGACATCTGTTACACCTGTGTGACATCTGTATGACACCTGTTACACCTGTGTGACACCTGTTACACCTGTATGACATCTGTTACATCTGTTACACCTGTGACATCTGTTACATCTGTGTGACATCTGTTACATCTGTGTGACACCTGTGTGCCATCTGTGTGACATCTGTTACACCTGTATGACACCTGTTACACCTGTATAACATCTGTTACATCTGACACCTGTGTGCCATCTGTGTGACATCTGTTACACCTGTATGACACCTGTTACACCTGTATGACATCTGTTACATCTGTTACATCTGTGTGACATCTGTTACACCTGTATGACACCTGTTACACCTGTATGACATCTGTTACATCTGTTACACCTGTGTGACATCTGTTACATCTGTTACACCTGTGTGACATCTGTGTGACACCTGTGACACCTGTTACACCTGTGTGACATCTGTTACATCTGTTACACCTGTGTGACATCTGTGTGACACCTGTGTGACACCTGTGTGCCATCTGTGTGACATCTATTACACCTGTATGACACCTGTTACACCTGTATGACATCTGTTACATCTGTTACACCTGTGTGACATCTGTTACATCTGTTACACCTGTGTGACACCTGTTACGCCTGTGTGACATCTGTTACATCTGTTACACCTGTGTGACATCTGTGTGACACCTGTTACACCTGTGTGACATCTGTGTGACATCTGTGTGACACCTGTTACACCTGTGTGACATCTGTTACACCTGTGTGACACCTGTTACACCTGTTACACCTGTGTGACATCTGTTACATCTGTTACACCTGTGTGACATCTGTTACACCTGTATGACACCTGTTACACCTGTATGACATCTGTTACACCTGTGTGACATCTGTATGACACCTGTTACACCTGTGTGACACCTGTTACACCTGTGTGACACCTGTTACACCTGTATGACATCTGTTACATCTGTTACACCTGTGACATCTGTTACATCTGTGTGACATCTGTTACATCTGTGTGACACCTGTGTGCCATCTGTGTGACATCTGTTACACCTGTATGACACCTGTTACACCTGTATGACATCTGTTACATCTGACACCTGTGTGCCATCTGTGTGACATCTGTTACACCTGTATGACACCTGTTACACCTGTATGACATCTGTTACATCTGTTACACCTGTGTGACATCTGTTACACCTGTATGACACCTGTTACACCTGTATGACATCTGTTACACCTGTGTGACATCTGTTACATCTGTTACACCTGTGTTACACCTGTGTGACACCTGTTACGCCTGTGTGACATCTGTTACATCTGTTACACCTGTGTGACATCTGTGTGACACCTGTGACACCTGTTACACCTGTGTGACATCTGTGTGACACCTGTTACACCTGTGTGACACCTGTGTGCCATCTGTGTGACATCTATTACACCTGTATGACACCTGTTACACCTGTATGACATCTGTTACATCTGTTACACCTGTGTGACATCTGTTACATCTGTTACACCTGTGTGACACCTGTTACGCCTGTGTGACATCTGTTACACCTGTTACACCTGTGTGACATCTGTGTGACACCTGTGACACCTGTTACACCTGTGTGACACCTGTTACACCTGTGTGACATCTGTTACACCTGTGTGACATCTGTGTGACACCTGTGACACCTGTTACACCTGTGTGACACCTGTTACACCTGTGTGACACCTGTTACACCTGTGTGACATCTGTTACATCTGTTACACCTGTGTGACATCTGTTACATCTGTTACACCTGTGTGACATCTGTGTGACACCTGTGACACCTGTTACACCTGTGTGACACCTGTTACACCTGTGACATCTGTTACATCTGTTACACCTGTGTGACATCTGTGTGACATCTGTGTGACACCTGTTACACCTGTGTGACATCTGTTACATCTGTTACACCTGTGTGACACCTGTTACACCTGTGTGACATCTGTGTGACACCTGTTACACCTGTGTGACACCTGTTACACCTGTGTGACATCTGTTACATCTGTTACACCTGTGTGACATCTGTGTGACACCTGTGTGACACCTGTTACACCTGTGTGACATCTGTGTGACACCTGTGTGACACCTGTTACACCTGTGTGGCACCTGTGTGACGGCGTTGACATATCTGTGTCATCCTGCAGGTGTCTCTGGACTACAGTCGGGAGGAGAAGGTGAACCATGAGGAGGTTCTTCAGACCAGTAAGATGAGGGCGGAGGTTCTGCAGAAACTTGTCACCATGCTGATCTCTCGCTGCCAGCAGCAGAGCATCAACACCCACTGACGGATCAACAGAGTCCACCTGTTCCCTCCTCACGGTGTTGTAACACCTGTCTGTAGATGTTGTCTCAGCTTCACCTGCTGTGAACTGCAGGAGAGTTTGAAGTTTGTGCTTCTGCTGACTCACTAAAACTGTCCTTTAAATAAATCTGAATAAAATCAGGACAAACTGATGAAACATTAAGGAAGCATGCAGTTTGTTGTTTTTTCATGCTGAACACGTCAACACTCGAGAAACAATTAACGGTTTCTACACTGTAATGTTCTAATATTAATGTGGTTAATAATTTTCATTAAATTCGATTTTATTTATATAGCACAGTTATAAAGTTATCTCATGTCTCTTTTCATAAAGAGCAGGTCTATCAAAGAGGAAAGTCTTAAGCCTACTCTTAAATGTGGAGATGGTGTCTGCCTCCTGAACCCAAACTGGAACCTGGTTCCACAGGAGAGGAGCTTGATAGCTGAACGCTCTGGCTCCTAGTCTACTTTTGGAGACTCTAGGAACCACAAGTAACCCTGCATTCTGGGAGCGCAGTGCTCTGGTGGGGTAGTAAGGTACTATGAGCTGGAACAGTAAGGCAAATTTCTTTTGTTTTTGTTGTTCACTGAAGACGTTTGGGTTTAAGATAAAAAGATTATTATTATTACCTTATTTCCTGTTATTCACATCTAGATGTGTTAAACACTCAGGACAGACCAGCCTTTGAACCCACCCATTTTTCAAGTGAGCAAAACTATTTGAACATGTGACAGATGTTTCTTGTGCCCAGGTGTTGCCTTTTAGGTTGATTGTCCAAACATTAAATAGCTCTGCATGACTAGCATAAGTTTTCATCCTTGGTTCAAACCTATAAAGACTGCACTAAAGAGGATAAACCAACATGAAGTCTATGGGAGAAAAGCATTGTCAAGCTGAGAAAAGAAGGAAAATCAACCAGAGCCATTGGACAAACTCTGTCTCCTACTCATCTTTTGATCTTAAACCCAAATGTCTTCAGTGAACAACAAAACCAAAAGATATTTGCCTTACTTACCAATACTTTAGGAGGGGACTGTATAAAGTGAACTAGTCGAGATGGGGTCTAAGAGACAGGCTGATGGTTTAGATAAAAAAATTATTCAAGTTAGTTTGTAAAGATAACGGAGGGCCTTCCTACAAGTTTTAAGACTTAAGACAGATCTTTACCATCCACACGTCAACACATTGTAGGAAATCGTTCTATAACAGACCTCTAGCATTATTCCTGTTAATTTTTCCTGCCTGTAGAACTGATGCTACTTTCCTCAGTGTTGCAGCCACATCGAGCGGAGACAGCTGAAACGGGTCCCGCAGGTGGAACGAGTACAGTTTTACATGTTTTTTAAAGGTCAAACAAAGAAAGCGAGCGAGCTTACAACAGGTGAGCGGTCCAACATAAAACAAACACAGTCCAGAGAAACTTTTTATTATCAAACTGCCACAAACATGTTTGTGTTTCCACTGAGCATGTGCAGTTGGTCACATGACAAGTCCAGCAGTTACAAGCTAACAGGCTAACAGTGGCTGTGTTCAGAATCACATGCTAACGTACCGTTCATGCTAAGTATGATGTCAGACTGAGTGTAGTTCCAGCTGCACAGTGATCATGTGCCTCAGTCACATGATGTCCTGCTGGACAATATCTCAGTCTGCTGGAACTGGCAGTACATAGTACTACGTAGAGTATGTAGTAGGTGTGTAGTGGTGTTTCCTGTTCATCATCATGACATCAGCAGGAGGGCGGAGCGTTTTTAGGATCCTTTAGTTTTTCTGATCATCGCCTCCATGATATTCCACTGATCTGGAGTCACCTGAGACACAAACCAAAATAATTTCATTATTATCATTATTATTATTATGTAAACTCTGAGTGACCCAAAAGAAGCAGGACAGAACAACACAAACACCGACTGCAGCTGGTTGGTGGAAACAATCATAATGTAAAACTTCATGTTTCTGAGGGAAACGTTTCAAACGTTTCAGTGAGACACTCACCCTGCGCAGATCATTAAACTCTCCAGCCATCGACACATATTCTCCTCCATCGAACCGGATCACCTGAAAACAAACAAATGGTCAGGGTGGACTCTGATCCAGGATCAGTTACACCTGTACTCAGCATGGACTCTGATCCAGGATCAGTCTCAACTCACAGCTCCAGACATCCAGGTAGCGTAGTCGCTGCACATGTACGCTGCCAGGTTTGCGATCTCTTCTGGTTTTCCCAGCCGACCCGTCGGGATTCGACTGATCATGGCCTTCTCAAAGGCTCCGGTCGGGTCCAGACGGCTGAACGCCCCCTAAACACAGCAAACAAACAACAGGTAAACAACAAACAGTCACCTGCAAGCAAACAGATGTCAGCAGCTGTGGTCACACGACCAGTACCTTGGTTTTGATTGGTCCAGGCTGGATTATGTTGAACCTGTGGCCGTAGCGCCCCCATTCTGCAGCCAGAGACCTGACACACCACAACAACAACAGTGTTACCATGACAACCACACACCCACCATGATCTACATCATGATGTCGTCATGGTAACGGCAGCATTTCGTGAACAGCTAGAAGGTCACGGATCAGACTGACTTGTAGAGCGCCTCAACGCCGGCCTTCGCCGATGCACTGGGGACCACGAAACCAGAACCAGACTCAGCGTAGATGGTGGTGATGGCCAGGAAAGAAGCACCTGCAAAACAACAACAATAAATAATAAACAACATGTTTGTTCTGCAATAAGATCAGTCTCTGGACGTCTCTGGCTCTGGATCAGCCTCTGACTCTGGATCAGCCTCTGACCTCTCTGACTCTGGATCAGCCTCTGACTCTGGATCAGCCTCTGACCTCTCTGACTCTGGATCAGCCTCTGACTCTGGATCAGCCTCTGACCTCTCTGGCTCTGGATCAGCCTCTGACCTCTCTGGCTCTGGATCAGCCTCTGATCGCTCTGGATCAGCCTCTGACCTCTCTGGCTCTGGATCAGCCTCTGACCTCTCTGACTCTGGATCAGCCTCTGACCGGATCAGCCTCTGACCTCTCTGACTCTGGATCAGCCTCTGACCTCTCTGACTCTGGATCAGCCTCTGACCTCTCTGGTTCTGGATCAGCCTCTGACTCTGGATCAGCCTCTGACCTCTCTGACTCTGGATCAGCCTCTGACCTCTCTGACTCTGGATGAGCCTCTGACCTCTCTGGTTCTGGATCAGCCTCTGACTCTGGATCAGCCTCTGATCTCTCTGACTCTGGATCAGCCTCTGACCTCTCTGGCTCTGGATCAGCCTCTGATCGCTCTGGATCAGCCTCTGACCTCTCTGACTCTGGATCAGCCTCTGACCTCTCTGGTTCTGGATCAGCCTCTGACTCTGGATCAGCCTCTGACCTCTCTGACTCTGGATCAGCCTCTGACCTCTCTGACTCTGGATCAGCCTCTGACCTCTCTGGTTCTGGATCAGCCTCTGACTCTGGATCAGCCTCTGATCTCTCTGACTCTGGATCAGCCTCTGACCTCTCTGACTCTGGATCAGCCTCTGACCGGATCAGCCTCTGACCTCTCTGGCTCTGGATCAGCCTCTGATCTCTCTGACTCTGGATCAGCCTCTGACCTCTCTGGCTCTGGATCAGCCTCTGACCTCTCTGGCTCTGGATCAGCCTCTGATCGCTCTGGATCAGCCTCTGACCTCTCTGACTCTGGATCAGCCTCTGACCTCTCTGGTTCTGGATCAGCCTCTGACTCTGGATCAGCCTCTGACCTCTCTGACTCTGGATCAGCCTCTGACCTCTCTGACTCTGGATCAGCCTCTGACCTCTCTGGTTCTGGATCAGCCTCTGACTCTGGATCAGCCTCTGATCTCTCTGACTCTGGATCAGCCTCTGACCTCTCTGACTCTGGATCAGCCTCTGACCGGATCAGCCTCTGACCTCTCTGGCTCTGGATCAGCCTCTGACTCTGGATCAGCCTCTGACCTCTCTGACTCTGGATCAGCCTCTGACCTCTCTGGCTCTGGATCAGCCTCTGACCCTGGATCAGCCTCTGACCTCTCTGGCTCTGGATCAGCCTCTGACCGCTCTGGTTCTGGATCAGCCTCTGACCTCTCTGACTCTGGATCAGCCTCTGACCTCTCTGACTCTGGATCAGCCTCTGACCTCTCTGACTCTGGATCAGCCTCTGACCTCTCTGGCTCTGGATCAGCCTCTGACCCTGGATCAGCCTCTGACCGCTCTGGCTCTGGATCAGCCTCTGACCTCTCTGACTCTGGATCAGCCTCTGACTCTGGATCAGCCTCTGACCTCTCTGGTTCTGGATCAGCCTCTGACTCTGGATCAGCCTCTGACCTCTCTGACTCTGGATCAGCCTCTGACCTCTCTGACTCTGGATCAGCCTCTGACTCTGGATCAGCTCTGGATCAGCCTCTGACCGCTCTGGATCAGCCTCTGACCTCTCTGGATCAGCCTCTGACCTCTCTGGATCAGCCTCTGACCGCTCTGGATCAGCCTCTGACCGCTCTGGATCAGCCTCTGACCGCTCTGGTTCTGGATCAGCCTCTGACCGCTCTGGTTCTGGATCAGCCTCTGACCTCTCTGACTCTGGATCAGCCTCTGACCTCTCTGACTCTGGATCAGCCTCTGACCTCTCTGGTTCTGGATCAGCCTCTGACTCTGGATCAGCCTCTGACCTCTCTGACTCTGGATCAGCCTCTGACCTCTCTGACTCTGGATCAGCCTCTGACCTTTCTGGTTCTGGATCAGCCTCTGACCTCTCTGACTCTGGATCAGCCTCTGACCTCTCTGACTCTGGATCAGCCTCTGACCTCTCTGACTCTGGATCAGCCTCTGACCTCTCTGACTCTGGATCAGCCTCTGACCTTTCTGGTTCTGGATCAGCCTCTTGCCCAGCTCCAGTGTGATGAAGGCCGTCCCGTTCAGGACAATGTCAGTGATGCTTTTCCAGCCGTTTGCCGACAGACGTTCTGACGGACAGACAAAGTTTCCTGCCGCGTTGTTGATGATCACCTGCACCAATCAGGACACAGCAATTATGACAATGCTGTAATTAATGACATCACAGATGATATCACAGCGCTAGGCAGTCAGAGCATCTTCTTACACATGATGACATCACACTGCAGCTCACATGACTGTTCAGATGTTCAGATTTGATTTTAAGGTTCAGGTTTAGGACTGCTCTGTATCAATGGCGTCCTCACAGGTAAAGAAAGACAGGTGTGTGTAGGTGTGTGCGTGTGCGTGTGCGTGTGTGGTTACATCAGGGAGTCCCGTCAGAGTTTCTATCTGGTCGACGCAGCGAGAGACGGCCTGAGAATCTCTGACATCACACTGAACCGCATGGACCTGAGGACAGAGTGGGGGGGGGGGCAGGTTAGAGCAGTCATCCGCCGGTCACCATACAGCCAAGGGCCGATGTGGCTCAGGGGGTAGAGCGGGCAGAAGGTCAGTGGTTCATGAATGACGTGAATGACTAATCATTCATGCAGCACACCTGGACACACCACCACTCACTGAACAGATCTCTGCCTCACTGCCACAAACAACTGTCTCCACCTGCTGGCATGTAAAGCCGTCTGCTCCCAGCGCTGTTCCACAGACTTCTATTCCTGTCATCGTCACGCATAGACCAGTAAACCGAAATGTGCACATCCCACACAGAAATATTAGTAATCTCTTAAGGATTAGGACAACTGCACCAACTCCAGCACCCAGAACAAACTCATTTAAAATGGCTCTCTTCAATGTGAGATCACTGTCAAGTAAGACTTTTATCTTAAATGATTTTATCTTGTCTGCAAATCTAGATTTTATGTTTTTAACTGAATCCTGGTTGCAGATGAATGACTATAGCCAGCTAGCTGAACTGTGTCCGCCTCAATATGATTGTTTTAGTCAACCGAGGGTCAGTGGTCGTGGTGGTGGGCTAGTGAGCGTGTATAGGAAAAATTTTAAATGTCATCAAGTACGCTGTGATGAATTTAACTCCTTTGAAGTTCTCACTCTTAAAGTTGGAGGGCTGCAACCTCATATTTGTTATAATTTATCGCCCCCCAAAACCGCCTGGAGGATTTTTATCAGAACTTCCTGAATTTTTATCTACTCTGGTTTTAAATTTTGACCCCACCAATGTTAATGCAACTGACTTTTTAAATATGGCCACTTCTTTTAACTCCAAACAACATGTCAAAGGGCAAACACATAACCGTGGTCATACACTGGACTTGGTTTTTACCCTGGGTGTCAGCATTTCCTCTGTGGAATTAGTGGACATGACCATATCTGACCACAGATGTATTGTTTTTAGCTGTGATTCGCCTGTTACTCATGCCGCCTCACCAAGCTCCGTGTGTTCTCGCATCTTTAATGAACAAAGTGTTTCAAAGTTTTGCGCATTCTTTCAGAGCCAAAGCCAACACCTGTCTGATTCCAACACCAACAATCTGGTCGATCACTTCAATCATATCTGCTTGTCGTCACTAAATATTACTGCTCCTCTAAAGGTTAGGCCTACGTCTAAAGCTAGTAAGCAACCCTGGATAAATGACAGCATTCGCAGCCTCAAAAGGGAATGCAGGAAAGCAGAGCGCAGATGGAAAAAATCCAGTCTCCAAGTCCATTACCTCAGTCTGAAGGATTTATTAATTAACTACAATAAAATGGTTAAGGATGCGAGAACACACTATTTTTCTGAACTCATTACTACACATAAACACAATCCCAGGTTTCTGTTAAAGACTGTGGATCAGCTGGTAAACCCAACCCCTCCTTGTGCCTCAGCTGGAAGTAATGATGACTGTGAATTGTTTTTATCTTATTTTACCAATAAGGTGGTGTCAATCAGAGCCTCTATTACCCCCGTGGCCTCTTACTCAGAGGTTCCTCACCAGCAACAACAGAGTTTCAACCAGTTTCATCCCATCGACTTGTCTGAGCTTTTAAAAACAGTATCACAAATGAGAGTGTCCTCCGGCCCACTTGATGTAATACCTACAAAGTTTTTACTAAAAGTAATAGATTCTGTTGGGCCCCGTTTGATCTCTGTTTTCAACAGCTCCCTATCTACTGGTTGTGTCCCTGATTATTTAAAACGGCTTGCGTGAACCCACTTTTAAAGAAACCTGGTTTAGATCCCTCCCTCCCACATAATTTTAGACCAATTTCAAAACTGCCTTTTATTGCAAAGATTCTAGAAAGAATTCAGGAAGTACCACAGCACTGAGACTGCCCTGCTTAAAGTCACCAATGACCTTTTAATGTCTGCTGATGAAGACATGTGCTCAGTCCTGGTACTCCTGGACCTTAGTGCTGCTTTTGACACCATTGATCACAACATCATGTTAGACAGACTGAGGCACTGGGTGGGGATCTCTGGTACTGCCCTAGAATGGTTTTCATCCTACCTGTCAAATAGGAAGTTTTGCGTGTCTGTAAACAACTGTCTCTCTGTTCTATCCAGTTAAATATGGTGTGCCTCAGGGGTCGGTCTTAGGGCCCATTTTGTTTTCCTTGTATCTGCTTCCCCTTGGACATATTATCCATAAACATGGCATTTCTTTTCATATTTATGCTGATGACACACAAATGTACTTGCCCGTCAGATCCACAGACCCTGGAATGCTGAGTTCACTTAACAACTGCCTTTGTGAAGTTACAAAATGGATGTAAAATAAGAGTACGCAGAGTACTATGTACTGCCAGAAATCCTGGTCATCGGGTCCCAGCAGATGGCAAATCAAATACTGCCATCTGCTGGTTCCCTAGTAAATCACTTTAAGCCTGTGGCAAAGAACCTTGGTGTTTGGTTTGATAGTAATTTAAATTTCGAGCAGCACACCACAAAGCTTGTTCAATAATGTTTTATCAACTTAGAAATATAGCAAAAATTCAATCTATGTTAACTTTTAAGGACACAGAGACCATTTTACAGGCCTTCATCTCATCACGCCTGGATTATTGCAACAGCCTTTTCACCTGTTTAACCCAAAATCTATTGATCGACTCCAGACTGTCCAGCACTCAGCTGCCAGGCTTTTAACCAGAACAAAGAAATATGACCACATTACTCCTATTTTAGCTTCATTACACTGGCTCCCAGTATGTTTTAGAATTGACTTTAAAATTCTATTGATCACTTTTAAAGCTCTTCATGGCCTCTCGCCTTGTTATATTTCTGACCTTTTAGTCCCATACGCACCAGCACGTACCTTGAGATCCTCGGGCAGGGGTCTGCTGTCTGTTCCAGAGTCTCGACTGAAAACTAAAGGGGACAGAGCGTTTGCTGTCAGGGCCCCGAGGCTCTGGAACAGCCTGCCCGAGGAAATCAGGTCGGCTGAGTCAGTGAACTCTTTTAAGTCCCTTCTTAAAACATACTTTTATAGGAGAGCCTTTCCCGATCTTATTTGACTTTATTTTATCCCTTTTATTTTATTGTATTTTACTAATTTTATATTTATCTTAAACGTGTATTTAGTCTTTTCAATGTTTTCATGCTTTTATCTTGTATTGTTTTTATATTATTGTCTCTTGGGTATTATTGTCTTTACACTTGTTAAAGCACTTTGTAACTTGTTTTTGAAAAGTGCTCTACAAATAAAGAATATTATATATTATAAGAAGAAGAGCAAAGGAAGTGCACATTAGATGTTAGGAGTAAGAGGAAGTGTTCTCAGAAGAGATGAGTTTTCAAGAGCTTCTTGAAGTCAGAGAGGGACGCCCCTGCTCTGATGGCGTGTGGTAGCTCGTTCCACCATCTGGGTGTCACAGATGAGAACAGCTGGGACTGGGATTGCTTTGTGTGAAGGGATGGCAGAACCCGGCGGCATTCGTTAGAGGAGTGTAGTGACCGAGAAGTAACGTAAACTTCTATTATGGAGTTTAGGTAGATGGGTGCAGACCCAGTAGTCACTCTGCAAGCATTAGTGACTTGAATATGATTCTGGAGACCACAGGGAGCCAGTGGCCTCCAGAATCAGATATTCACATTCAACTTAGCAGAGAGGTGAGTCTGACACCATCCTGTCACCATCAAACACCTGACGGTGGCTTTGTCCGAAATCACCCACTACTACTACTATGCCATTTCATAGTGCTGTCCGAATGTATAGTGATAATTATTATACCCTATATAGTCCACTCAATGTATCCAGAATGTATTTTGAAAAGTAGTGTGCAACCAATGGTCACTAACCAAACCATATATACCATCATGCACTGCGCTGATAGAAAAAAAATGATTGTCCGACAGCAATGACGTAATTAACGGTGCCATCGGAGTAGTGTCCGAAAGTGTTGTTTTAATAATGCGAGTGAGCTCCCTATATAGTGCTCTACATACAACTCCCTACAGAGGGGGTAGGGAGTTGTAAATGAGTGGGGATTTCGGACACAGACCATATTTTTATTTTCCCTCTCACGCTAACTACTGCTATTGTTAGGTAATTAGCTCAGTTAGCCATGCAGCTAGTGGTCCTTTTAGCTTAGCTGACTGGGAGCTTGGGCATCCAGGGAGTGTTGATGTTTACACTAGTGGCAAAGGAACTTTGGACCGCCGGGAGGAGGTGGTTTTCAGGCCTGGGCGCCAAGATCCCAGTCCAGACAGACTCAGCTAGCTAATGGGACCTTCAGCTGCACAGCTAACAGAAAGCGCTATGATGTGTAACTGTAATATTATTACAGAGAGGATGGTCTACACCTGCTCTATCAATTGGTGCTTTATAATGAAAATTTAATTGAAATCCAAATTTTTGCTTTGGAAGTGTTGTACGAGTCTCTGAAGCCCTGTTTAGTGTTTGAACATGAGGCTCCAGGTCAGTCTGCTTTGATCTAGTCCAGTCCGGTTCAGTCTGATTCTGGTTTGTCACCTTGTTTCCAGTCTGGCGGCTGATCTCCTCGGCTGTTTTCTGCAGGACATCCAACTTCCTGAACAATAGGCACAAATGCATGAAGTCAGGATTTATCAATTTCATCTAACTAAGTACTGCAACTCTGTGAGGAACTTTCATTAAAAGGTCATAAAATGAAGTTGTAGCTGATGTTTTCGTCAGTCCGTCACATATGGACAAACTTATAAATATGGAGATCCTTATTCTAATTCACATTCTCCTGTTTAGGATTTGTTTTAGTTGTAAATAAAGCAGAGTGTCGTCTGCATAGATAAGCATTTTTTTCATTCTGTAATAAGAATTGGGGGGGGGGGGGGTTAATGTGACCTCTGACCTGTTTTTTCTTGTTCACCTGCATCCCAACCATGGAGGCAGTAGAATCCGTAAGGAATAGGCTGCTACAAGACCACGATGTCCACAACAACAGTTTAGCTTTCCTGGACTGTGCCGTACACACTGAAGAAGACACGAGCCTGCATATTGGGGTTTACAGAAAACCCACACACGGACCAATACCTACTCTTCAATTCCTACCACCCACAGGAGCACAAGCTACGGGTCATCAGAACCCTGCAACAACCCTGTGTTTTTTAAACCAAAGACCATGCTAAGACAGATGCTGGTCCACCGCAAAGACCGCACACCCAAGCACAAGAAAAGCAATCTAGTGTATGCGGTCCAATGCAGTGAGGAATGCACAGACCTGTATATTGGGAGACTAAACAACCACGACACAAACGCATGGCTCAACACAGAAGGGCCAACTCCTCAGGTCAAGACTCTGCAGTTTACTTACATTTGAAGGACAGAGGACACTCGTTTGAGGACCACCAGGTGCACATCTTAGACAGAGAAGATGGATGGTTTGAAAGAGGTGTCAGGGAAGCCATCTACACCAGGGCTGAGAAGCTGTCACTGAACAGAGGAGGGGGTCTACGCCACCACTTATCCCCCACTTACAATGCTGTCCTTTCATCACTTCCCAGGAAACTCAACAAACATAACCTATTGGCCTCAGGTGAAGATGCCTGTGACGGCCCCTCTGCAGGGTTCATACTGCTGTTGGTGTGCTTTCTGTCTCCAGGGCTGCAGACCTGATTGGCAGGGTAATCAGCGGCATGGGACACACCTGGGCCCGGTGTGCCCCATGCATATAAGCCAGAGCAGCAGTCAGTCTTGTTGGACCTCCTCATCTCACAGCTTCCTTTGTTTGGTTTCTTGTCTTTGTTTTTCACTCATCCACTCCCTACACTACTGACTTTACACATTCTTCCCACTCACTGGTTTCGCTTATTTTCTTACTAACAAATCACTTTGTCATTTAGCTTCCCTGTATGTCTCCCGTTTTTGTCCAGTCCATGAGCCGGGCTGTGACATTGTGGTTGTTCAGACTTGGCCACGGGTGGCTAGAACGACCATGACAACTGTCGTTACCACAGCCAGGAGCACTAACGAACCAGCGGTATCGATGATCCTAACTAACAATCCCATAGAGGTTAAATAGCTGAGTTTCCCTACCAGCCAGTCAGTCTCTCGGATGAGGGACAAAACATCTTCTAGTATATTCAACCAAGTCCAGTTGCCCTGGACTTTAACCTTCGTTGGATAACTATGACCTGGATGACTGAGAACCTCTGACCTGGTTTGTTTTTAATTTTGGGGGTTAGTTATACAGTGTGACCTCTGACCTGCTGGCGATGACACACTGAGCTCCCAGCTGTGACAGGGTGGTGGTCATGGCTCGGCCCAGTCCCGTCCCCCCTCCTGTGATGAACGCCACTCTATTGGTGAAACTTCCTGGTGGCAACATGGCGCCTTCCGCCGGAGGGAAGAATCCCGACTGAGGAGGAGGAGAATCGGACTGCTGACGAAGGAGCACCGAGCTGTGGAACCATGACTGAGAGAAAACATTGAAAAGAACAGAGTTTAGAGCCTTCTCCTACTTCCTGACTCCACATGTCACGGTTTTTAAAGCTAGACTCAGGTGGTCTCCATGTTTACTATTTACAAGTTGAAACTATTTATTCATTCATTACAAAAACATAAATGTCCCCAAAACATTGAAATATTAGTAATCACAATGAATACAGATCAATATTTATATTACTGAAGATCTCTGTGCTGTCCAGGCCCCACAGTGATGGGAAGGCGCCGAGTCGGGGGGCCGCAGTTGGAACCACCTTTTGCCTGGTCTCACTGCGTTTTCCTTTGCAAATACTGCGAGATCAGTCATTGATCTCAGCTCTCAGTGAGTTCACGCAGGTAGAATGTGTCCAACTTGACCAGCGCCATTTTTATTCCCGCCACTGCAGTCGCTTGCAGCTCACGTTAGACTATCAAGTCAGCAAAAGTCAGCCACTGTCATCTCGAAAGCACCTAATGCTACGCCAAGTTTAAAGGATTCCAAGATGGCGTCTAGACATGAGATTTGTAACAACTAGTGTTTATAGGACTATAAAACAGCCACGCTGAGACAGAATTCAGTGACTGAACATCTTCCCTTTAACTTAACAGTGACAGTCGTGACCCTGAGAGGTAGACAGGAGAAGTTTATTCTCTTTCCAAAACCCAAAACAAATCCAGAGAAATGTCGCTGTGGATTGATCCTAATGTGATGTCAGTAAGCTAATGCTAGCTAACTTCCTGCAGAATGTAACGTCATAAAGCCCTGCTGTCCTGCTTTCTAATGACTGGAATAGGGAACAGAGACCTGGAACAGTGTTGATCCTTAAGATCGTCAGGCGATGCAGTGCTTCACTTTTACTCTGTGGTCACTAGACATTAGCTTCTGTTAGCTTCTGTCTTCATTTGTTTCACGTTGGTTTGACAGACTGAATAGAACCTTTAAAAGCTGCAAACCTTTCTGAGATCGCTTTGTCATTTTTCTATTCTATATTTCTCCAGTTACAGACAGAAGCAGCGCCGTGATAAAAGTCCAACACAGTGGACACTAATGGGCCAAACACTTTCCAGAGACCCCCTTACTGCCCTCAGTGGCCTCTTTACTGCCTCCAGAGGCCCCCTTACTGCCCTCAATGGCCTCTTTACTGCCTCCAGAGGCCCCCTTACTGCCCTCAATGGCCTCCTTACTGCCTCCAGAGGCCCCCTTACTGCCCTCAGTGGCCCCCTTACTGCCTCCAGAGGCCCCTTTACTGCCCTCAGTGGCCCCCTTACTCCCTCCAGAGGCCCCCTTGTTGTTAATTGTTAATCGTTGTACTATATTTTTCTATTTTATCAATTTATATATAACTCGCCTTTGTGTATTCCATATTTACAGGTGCTGGTCATATAATTAAAATATCATCAAAAAGTTGATTTACTTCAGTAATTCCATTCAAAAGTGAAACATGGATATATTCATTCATTCCTCACAGACTGATTTATTTCAAATGTTTATTTCATTTGTGATGATTAAAACTGACAACTAATGAAAATCCCAAATTCAGTATCTCAGAAAATCAGAATATTACTTAAGACCAATTCAAAAAAAGGATTTTTAGAAATGTTGGCCAACTGAAAAGTATGAACATGAAAAGTATGAGCATGTACAGCACTCAATACTTAGTTGGGGCTCCTTTTGCCTGAATTACTGCAGCAATGCGGCGTGGCATGGAGTCATCAGTCTGAGGTTGCTCTGATAGTGGCCTTCAGCTCTTCTGCATTGTTGGGTCTGGCGTATCGTATCTTCTTCTTCACAATACCCCATAGATTTTCTATAGGGTTAAGGTCAGGCGAGTTTGCTGGCCAATTAAGAACAGGGATATCATGGTCCTTAAACCAAGTATTGGTAGCTTTGGCACTGTGTGCAGGTGTCAAGTCCTGTTGGAAAATGAAATCTGCATCTCCATAAAGTTGGTCAGCAGAAGGAAGCATGAAGTTTACTTTCATCAGAGAACATAAATTTGGACCACTGAGCAGCAGTCCAGTCCTTTTTGTCTTTAGCCCAGGCGAGACGCTTCTGACGCTGTGTCTTGTGTAATGCGACAGCTGAAACCCATGTCTTGCATACGTCTGTGCGTGGTGGTTCTTGAAGCACTGACTCCAGCTGCAGTCCACTCTTTGTGAATCTCCCCCACATTTTTGAATGGGTTTTGTTTCACAATCCTCTCCAGGGTGCGGTTATCCCTATTGCTTGTACACTTTTTTCTACCACATCTTTTCCTTCCCTTCGCCTCTATTAATGTGCTTGGACACAGAGCTCTGTGAACAGCCAGCCTCTTTAGCAATGACCTTTTGTGTCTTGCCCTTCCTGTGCAAGGTGTCAATGGTCGTCTTTTGGACGGCTGTCAAGTCAGCAGTCTTCCCCATGATTGTGTAGCCTACAGAACTAGACTGAGAGACCATTTAAAGGCCTTTGCAGGTGTTTGGAGTTAATTAGCTGATTAGAGTGCAGCACCAGGTGTCTTTATTATTGAACCTTTTCACAATATTCTAATTTTCTGAGATACTGATTTTGGGGTTTTCATTAGTTGTCAGTTATAATCAAAATTAAAAGGAATGAACACTTGAAATATATCAGTCTGTGTGGAATGAATGTATACATTATACAAGTTTCACTTTTTGAATGGAATTACTGAAATAAATCAACTTTTTGATGATATTCTAATTACATGACCAGCACCTGTATATACACTGCTCACAAAAATAAAGGGAACACTAAATAACACATCCTAGATCTGAATGAAAGAAATAATCTCATTAAAGACTCCTTTCTTTACATAGTTGAATGTGCTGACAACAAAATCACACATAAATTATCAATGGAAATCAAATTTATCAACCCATGGAGGTCTGGATTTGGAGTCGCACTCAAAATCAAAGTGGATAACCACACTACACTTAGGCTACCTCTGGCGAGCACATGGAGGGCTGTGCGGCACCCCAAAGAAATGCCACCCCACACCATTACTGACCCACCGCCAAACCGGTCATGCTGGAGGATGTTGCAGGCAGCAGAACGTTCTCCACGGCGTCTCCAGACTCTGTCACGTCTGTCACACGTGCTCAGTGTGAACCTGCTTTCATCTGTGAAGAGCACAGGGCGCCAGTGGCGAATTTGCCAATCTTGGTGTTCTCTGGCAAATGCCAAACGTCCTGCACAGTGTTGGGCTGTAAGCACGACCCCCACCTGTGGACGTCGGGCCCTCATACCACCCTCATGGAGTCTGTTTCTGACCGTCTGAGCAGACACATGCACATTGTGGCCTGCTGGAGGTCATTTTGCAGGGCTCTGGCAGCGCTCCTCCTGCTCCTCCTTGCACAAAGGCGGAGGTAGCGGTCCTGCTGCTGGGTTGTTGCCCTCCTACGGCCTCCTCCACGTCTCCTGATGTACTGGCCTGTCTCCTGGTCATGTTTGACTTTCTGTCTGTCTGCTTAAAATGTCAATAAAGTTTATCCAAAAAGACAACACTTAGGGGATATATGTGGGCCGAGATAAACGCCATCACGTTCTGTGCGTGGCATCTTCTCTGCGGAAGTCCAGCTTCCTGCTCATTCGCGCTGCTGCTGGTTATATATGGAAAATCCCCTCTGATCCCTGAGGATGTTGCTTTTTACCCCAGAGGGCAACAACAAGCTGAACTGTCGTATGATTGGTCTGATGGTCACTCTCCTGAAAGTGAGAAGGTGTTAGTGCGCCACCTGGTGGCAATAAAGTAGTAACGAAAGGTACTTGAGTACTTTCTCCTCCTGCTCCGTCTCAGAGGGAGATCTAGTACTTTTTACTTCACTACATTTCTCTAACAGCTTCAGTCACTTTACAAAGACACATGAAGAGTTTCTGAAATCTGATGTTAGTTATAAATTAAACTCCAACAGTTTAGAAAGTGCAGCTGCTCCATTAGTTCTTTATTTATTCTGATCATCGTTGAAGTCATTTTTCATGTGAAAACATTTGAGGTGAAGATCTGCGGCTTTTCCTTTTTATTATTTATGTTATTTGGAGGTTTGGACTGACTGAAGGAGTCTCTCTGAGAAACTGGGACAACATGTCTGATGGTTTTCATTTCACAATCCATTAATGGAGAAAATAATCAGCAGATTGATCCAGAATGAAAAGAATCATCAGCTGCAGTCTGAAACTTATCAGTTCAACCTCAACAACTACAGCAGCAGCATCCTACTGTACTTTAAAGAGGAGGAAGAATACTCTGATCACAGGGGACATTTTACTGCAGTGAGTACTTTTAATACTTTAAGTAGATTTTACTGATTATACTTGGTAACATTTTCAATGCAGTACTTTTACTTATAACTGAGTATTTTACAGTGAGCTATTAAGTACTGGATCTGAACACTGTGTACACCGCCGCTTCCGAGATGACCCTGTTCTGGATCTGGTCTTCCCTGTAAACCTGGACCCCTCCAGACTTGATGGAGACACTTTAAATTTCACAGAAAACAAATGATTTATTCTGAAATAAAGAAGATTAAATCTGCCACGTGCACTCTGAGCTGCAAAGCGCGTGCACGAGGATGCGGGTGAAAGGTGAGCTGCAGCAGGTAACGTCCATTTCCCGCCAGAAGCCCGGCTGATTATCGATTATGGATGTTGTGTTTGCGGCTCCGGCCGTTTTAAAGTACTTTAAGAAGTTTTCTCACCTGGTGCACTGAAGCGCGCGCTGATCTTAAAAACTCTGCTTTCCTCCAAAACACGGCGGCCGCCATCTTGTTCAACAGCTGGTGACCTTTGACCCGGATCAAACCAACCGTCAGAGAGTGACGACGGTCACGAGTTACCGTAATGTGTCTAAAATGGCGTCACTTTGGAAAAACACTCCGGAATATTTCCATATTTATCTTCACAAACAGACTTCACACGCCACGTGATCAATATCCAATCGGTCTGATATCGATTAGTGACCGGACGAGCCCTCCGGTGTCTGACAGAAGTTTAGATCGGGAGCGCTTCGTGTTTGTTCGGATAATTACGGTACCGAGCCGCGGTGGTCCGACTGTCGGAGCACGCGCTGATAGAAAGCAGCAGCTGATCGATGTGATCACTGAGGACAGATGGAGGACCGAGTCTCTGAACCCAAACTGGTTCTGGTCTTCAGCGGGAAACGGAAGTCCGGAAAAGATTATGTGACGGACCTGATCCACAACCGGTAAATCCATTTGTTTGAGTCGGTTTGTGAGGAGGTGACGTGATCCCAGAGAATGGAAATAAAACCATTAACAGGGGACGTCAGAACTGATCAATAATTGGTCCCGCCTGTTAAAGCTCATTAATCCAGCTGATGGATCACAAGTTGTCCGTCCCTGTGATTGGCTGCTACTGTCTGTCCAATCACTTACGGAAAAAGATCCTTCCCAACCAAGTTTGATTGTTTGTCCTTTTATAGTTAAAAGTTGTCTTGAACGTTACCTGAAAGATCTGATGATCTGTCTCTAAGTGGGGTTTGGAGGAGGAGCTTATTTAGTATCAGGACGATTTTTATTGTGACATTGAGAATATTTGGTTTACAACAATCGTCATTTCAACAGGAATGAAGATGCTGTTAGTCTGCTGCGAGTGTTGAAATCACACCAGAAGCCGGTTCTGATTAGGTTAAACTAACCCTCCGCGAGTCTCAGAAGTGAACCGGTCCTGGTCTCATGGAGACGCTGCAGAGCATCGTTTTATTCATGTTCCTCCTGAACAAACCGCTCAGAGCTGCAGAAGCTCCTCCTCTGGGAGTTCATTCTACTGGAAACAAGAAAAGTGCTGCGAGTGATGAAAACTTTAAATATAAACTCCACCTGGATGATGTCTCTCCTGCTTCTGCAGTTTAGGATCTGATGCTTGCTGCGTCATCCGCCTGTCTGGACCTCTCAAGCAGCAGTATGCTAAGGTAAGACCAACACCTGTACGCACAGGTGAGACCAAGAGCTGACCATGAGGCCTGCTGAGTGATTCTGGTTCTGTTGGATCTGCAGGAACACAATCTGGACCTGGACCGGCTGTTGGGTCCTGGTCTTTATAAGGAGCAGTATCGGGCCGATATGATTCGCTGGGGAGAAACTCGCCGCAGCCAGGACCCTGGGTTCTTCTGTCGCCTAGCAACCAGAGGAGCAAGGCAACCTGTCTGGGTGAGTCCCTGATGTCTCTTCCTCCTGCTCCTAGGTGGCGAGTGATGCTCTCTGATTGCTCAGGTGGTATGTGATGGTCTCTGCTCTCTGATTTTTCAGATGGTGAGTGATGCGCGGCGGCTGTCAGACCTGCAGTGGTTCTGGTCAGAGTTTCCTCGACAGACTCAAACTGTCAGAGTTCAAAGTTCAGAAAAAACACGGCAACAGAGGGGGTGGATCTTCACTGCAGGTAGGTTTACCTGTCTGTCTCTCTACCTCTGTCTCTCAGGTGAGGACGATGCAGTCAGTGGTAGTTTACCTGTCTGTCTCTCTACCTCTGTCTCTCAGGTGAGGACGATGCAGTCAGTGGTAGTTTACCTGTCTGTCTCTCTACCTGTCTCTCAGGTGAGGACGATGCAGTCAGTGGTAGTTTACCTGTCTGTCTCTCTACCTGTCTCTCAGGTGAGGACGATGCAGTCAGTGGTAGTTTACCTGTCTGTCTCTCTACCTGTCCGTCTCTCTACCTCTGTCTTTCAGGTGAGGAC